TAGTCAGTCTGCCTGTGGCGTGGAGGCTGGCTCATGCCATACCTTTTACCGGTCGTCTGTTTGGCCATAAGGAAGGAAAGGGAACCCACTTTCAGACACCTATGCTCTCTGACTTGCACAGCGTGTGATATGTTGGTTCGATTTTAGACTGACGTGAACAGGGAGTGTTTGTTTCAATGGAAGTGCACACCTAGTAGGTTGATTCACCTGCCTTTGCCTTTTTGCGAGGTATTGTTGACAGTTTAACAACGCTTTTTAAACAAGTGCTTTGCATGTGCGAATCGTTTTTCTCGGAAACACTTATCTGCAGTCTTTTTTTTGTTTACGTTCCTCTTGCTCCTTGTTACCCTCCAATCGTGTCAACCATTTCCTAACTTCAGGCATTTTTTTTCGGTTTGCACCAACACGTGTCTATTTTAGGTGGTTTAGTTTTGTCTAACTTGGGTTGAACTCATTTTTGACTACGATGTCAACTAGTTTGAGTACTTTTACTCGATCCTCTTGATGTAATTGAATGCCAAGTGTGGATATTGAGTCCATTTTACTCTGATATTGATATTATTAATCTCCAGTTCACGTCTTGAGGCCTAAGGGTTTATCGAAAGCTGGTATACCAAGAACGCGCCACCTAGTCAGGCGCCCTGGGTGAAGGTCGTGTTTGCTGGGATTTGAAACGGTGGGCACCCAACCATATATCAAGCTGTTGCAGTAACCAACTCAGCCCTACCAGCGGTTACTCCTCTCCGCTAATGTTATTTACAAGTGACAGCTTCAAGGAGGTTTCCTTCTACCTCAGCAGGAATTTTTCCGATCGCACTCTCCTAAATCGATGAACTTGTTATAAAGAGATCTCTTTTGATCAACCAAATAAGAAATTTAGGTCAACATTTTGAAGTCTATTGCATAGTTTCCCTACTGTCAGAAATATGTCCTGTTGGTGCTCGGTAGGATACCTCAAGCAATATCATCGCCTTTGGAACATCAACCAAGGTTTGCGCATCACTGGTTGAACTCGCCATTAAGGGAGGGGTTATAAAGTAATCGTATGAGTTTGTTCTGCATGTACTATTTTCGTAGCGTACTTCTAGTAGCTGATTTAGTCATCCCTCCCCTTTCTTTCCAGCTTGCAAAGCACATTACTCGTTTTCGTGGTTGTCGCATCAGTTGGATAACCCCACTAGGTTTGCCTGTCGTGCAACCCTACGTCAAAGATACGGACTTCGAGATCGCCTTGTGGAGTGGGGAACTCTCCAACGCTGCCGCATCTACTACAGCGTGGGCCACTGCATTGAAAAAAGCAGCACATCGTGCAGAGCGGCAATTTCGTCGCGGTGGCGCACGGGACTCACTCGTTGGATTGCCATTGCCAGACCCGATAAAGCAGCAAAACGCCTTCCCGCCTAATTTCATCCACTCTCTTGACTCTTGTCACATGATGCTCACAGCGTTGCACTGTCTTCGAGCTGGTGTGATGTTCGCCTCGGTGCATGACTGTTTTTGGACCCATGCGGCATCTGTGGATCAACTAAATCGGGTTAGTTGGTGATGAAATTAGGCCTATCTATTTTGGATATCAAAATCGAACGTGATTAATTGTTTAGCCACTTTGAGTCGTTGGATGGTGTGCATGGTTCGTTACTTTTGCATTTCGTAGCCTCACTTTACTCCAGTCACATCCATTTACAGTTTCTTGATATCGGAGCCGTGCCTTACCGAATTCTGTTATCGATTATTCGCCTCGATGACGCCGGCTTTTTAGCTTCATTGTTAGCTATCTACGGGAATTTGAGTTGACACAAGTTGGCACGATTTGACTGGTCTTATAGTTTCTGTGAAAATAGCCATCTATAGTGGTGGAATTTCATCGAACTTCTTGGGTTTTTTATCTAGCAATAGAATACGGATGTGTTATTTGCTTGTGGCGGCGTCCCAAATGTGGCACTATAGTTGTCTTTCAAATTATTATGTGGGACTAATAGCATAGGTGGCGTGGCCAGAGCTTCATGTTATTGCCACGGCATAGAACTTGACTGAGTTCTCGTCTTTTCCTGACGCACCTTCATGGTCGCTTTCCCATTTCGACCTTTTTCAGGTGAACATACATGCGACAGGAATAAAAATGCTTTGAACACTACGCCGCTATAAAGTGATCACTGAAATAGGCAGTGTGTGTCCAAATTCGTCCACTTGGAACGATTGTGTTACCATAGCTAATAACGTGACGCCTATTACACCTTGAAAGGATGAGAAGTGGTTATGTGGTTTTGTTAACCCATAGCGTCATCTGTCCTCTCATGGCTTGAAAGTGCTCAGCAAATTCTAAGGTCTAGCAAAAAAGTAATTCAGGCAGTCAAGAGACTTCGCTACACGCTGAGCGTAAGTTACATTTCGTCTTGAAGTCAGAGACTAATCTGATCAACTCGAAGGAGCTAACTAGCTCCTGTCTCTGAAAGTGGCAACTTGAGTTAGATGTTTTCACTACTGGTGCATTCCACTGGAGATGGAACATACAAAGGGACGAGCTACTTTTTTGGAAATTTTTCTTTCCTTTAAATTTCACTATACCCATTTGTGTCCATATAAAAACTTGATACCTTTCACTACTCCCATGGAAATTTAATGTCTTGCTGAGTCTAACGGGCATTCCGTATCACCTGAACGAAAATATTTCTATAGTGACTTTTAGTATTACATATGTAAAGCCCATTTACCTTGTTTAGTGAGTCGTGAAGGTTCTCAGTTTGCTTCTTGTGCAGAGAAGCGAGCTACTGCTGGACTAATGAGCTGAAAGTATTTCCTGTTTTAGGTGTGATTCAAAATTAGTGGACTCACTTTAAGTTGTTGTTAGATTCACCTCCGAAAACTTCGCATTTTGGTCATTTGATTGATGCTTAATACGGGGTTATTCATGCGAGTAGTTATTCTTTCTTCTCCCTTCTTCAAGTTTGTGTTGGATCATTGCAGGATATCAATAACGATTTGTCGCTGATTCACTGTCGAATCATATGCTGCTTGGGAAGATCAGTCGAGGTGTTTCATGGTATTCTTGGTGGAACTTATCCACCTTTTGGAGGCACCTATAGATGTCTTATTTGATTGGAACAGCTTCTAGATCAAATTGAATGTCGAGCCACATAAGAGCACTTTTATCAGGTTGTAAGCCCACTGTCCGCCGTTGAATATCACGGTGACCGTGAAGAGTTCTAGTTGAGTTGGAAGTGGAACGGGACCACTTCTCATTCTGAAAGAATCTGGTGAGGTAAGTGGGTTATCGAAGTGTCTTGGATGCGTTATGGAATTCAAAGTTACTTGAAGGGCTTGTTCAAGAAGATAGGTGGTGGTGGTGGGGCTTATGCGTCACTTTGAATGGGCTAGAGATTAATTCTAC